GTTATTATGAGTAAAGGTTTTAAAGTTACAATGTTTAAAGAATTAATGACTATTTTGACACTAAAACATCTTTTTGAATTTGTCACTATAAGCAGGAAGCTTTAAGAAAATCAAGATTTTTAGTTGACCTTTGAATTTCTAAGCCAGACAAATACCATATCTCTGTACATGGCAACTGTCTGGACAAACATTTGTGCCCTTTCATTGCTCACCTGCTCCTCTGCTATTCTCGAGGTGTTCTGCAGTTTAATGATGGTTTTGTTGAAAGCCTTCTGCATCTCCTCCATCTGTTTTCGATACCTTGAATCATAACATGGAGGCAGAAGTCTTAATATCACCCTCTACTCACAACAATCTTAGTGTGTTTCTCTGTAGCACTGCTGTGAGTCCCTGTTTCTCACCTCTGGCTTAGCTGCTCCAGGTAGCGTCCGCTGAGGGACATGTTCATCTCCAAAGCCTTGATGCGGTTGTTGAGCCTCATGAACACAGACTCCTTCTGGCTGGAGCCATGCACTGGGTTACCATTCTGCTCCGTGCCGTTGGGGGGATCTGCATAGATGTCTGAGAGGGATGGTGAGGCAGGCAAAGGAGAGGGAGAAGGAGCTGAAGGAAAGGGTGATGGTGTGGAGATGTCTTCTGCAAAATCCTCCGTCCTAGTTTCTGTGATGACCGGCTGACCACCAGAGGGCTCAGGCTCTGTAACGGTGTCTGCAGCGGTGTGGGACACTTCAGTGGAACCACTTTCAGGTACAGCTGGTGGGTCAGGGTGATATTCTAACTGAGGGGAGGTGGTGGGATGGAGAACTTGAGAATGATCGGTCTTATCCGGGGTTTGGATAGGGGCGTTTTTTATCTCTGGTTCGGAAACATCAATATTAGACTTTTCTTCTGTTGGTGCTACTGAGACATCGTCCACTGTGGTACCCACACTGGGTTGTACATAGACGGAGCTACTGAGAGAGGCTGAAGGCTCAATGGGCTTCTCTTCAGCCAGCACATCCTGGCTCTTTTCTGGCCCTAGCTCCTTCACTGGCTCCTCAGAAGACAGCTGTGGTGTTTCCACAATAGGAGTAGGTTTGGCAGAGGATGAGTCAGTGGCACTGGGCTTGGGGAGTTTCAAGGTTTGACTGGGCTCCAGCAGAGGAGGTTCGGACATGGACTCTTTATGAGACTCTGCTGTGTTCCCTGGAGGCTGTGGTGTTTCTGGCGGGCTGGCTCCGCTCTCTGGCTCCTGTTCAGAAGCTTGTTCTTTTTCATGGGGCTGATGTACCTCACTGTGGTGCTGCTGAGGTTCAGGGCAGGCTGAGGGGGAAAGGGGTTGGTGCCAAGCGGGTGTTTGGATGGGAATAATCATATGCTTTCTGTCCATAGTCTGGCATTTCCTTTTTTTTGACAGCAGGGCTGAACACTGGCGATGGAGATACTCCTGGAGGGACGCTGCACAAGAGCAAGAGGAAGAAAATAAAGCACTTACAGAGCAGTAGTTTTGGGTTTCTCGTTGTCGCTCATTATGATCACTTTTCTCTTTTTCTTCATCCAACTCCTCCTCCTTATCCAAAAGAATGATTGTAGAGCTGATGTGTTCTTCCTCATCTTTCTCTAAAGGAATAACAATTTTTTCCTCCACAGGGGGGAGCTCTTGCTTGCTTGTGTCAGCGGTAGGTGTCTCTGGCTCAGGAGTCTCTGAGGAAGGGGCTACAGTTGCAGGGACAACAGGGTCTGGTAAACTCCCTTCCTCTTCAGAGTCTGGACTAGAGAGAGAGGAGGACAATAGCGTGCATATTAAATACAGTAAAGGAAGGGCCCAGTACAACAGCCACAACAACATCTACAATTATCTCTTTTATCCATTATCTCACAAGGTGGTGGTTAATGGAAAAGTAGATTTCCAGAGGTGAGAAACTACTAAAATATACCAGATTTGAGGAGGCACAATGTACTAGTATTGATTTGTATGGTTTTCATAATATTATACCTCTGTCACCTTGCACAAACAACCAACCAGACGTCTAATTATATTTAATGGAACACATTACAAAAATTTGAGGCTGTCAGCTACATATCCAACGTCCACACCACTTCACCCCTAGAGCTCTCCATTCCTCCAAATTACCTCATAGTTGTCCCACGATCCAACAGCAAACTCGGAGGTGATCGCGCCTTTGCGGTCCCAGTCCCTAAACCTGGGGACAATCTCCCACACTCTCTTAGATGTGCCCCTTCCCTCAGCTCAACTTAAAACATACCTTTATTCTGTAGCATTTGTGTCCATCTAGTCTGTTTTATTTAGTTGACTGTCATTTTTCTGGTTGTGTCTGTTTTGCTACTTAACATTTTTATTGGTTTAATATATATATATATATATATTATTGTTCTTTTGCATTTACCACTGTACATCACTTTGGTCAACTTCTGTTGTTGTAAAATTTGTTCTATAAATAAACTTGATTTGACTTCATATTTACCACTTTGACTCATCTCTGAAAATATCCATACATTTTTAACCTGTCAACAATACGAAATAATAGCTCTGAAAAACAATTATTTAAGGTTTGTTGAATTACATTACATTACAATTCTGAAAGATGTTATAACACATACTCAAGACAGGTACTCACACTGATAAGGTAAGGTCAGTGGTGGTAGGTTGAGTGGTAGTTTCAGGCTGCAGTGATGGCTCAGTCATGTTTACGCCCTGTGATGAAAGGTTGCCTACAAAACGTAAATAAGAAGAATAACAATAAGAGTGAACACAGAAATTATTATAATCTACAGAAGTCCTAGTCCACATTTTTCTCATCAACTGAAAAGGTTGGAAAAATAAAATAGTGACTGTGTGAGACAAAGCTGGATGTTAGAGCTGACTGTGCTGGTCATACCTTGCATCTCTGGGCCCCCGCCAAGAACATTGACAGCAATGTTATTTACCATGTTCAATATAACATCTGAAAAAAAAAAAAACACCAGAGTAACAAATTAATAAAGTAATCCAGGTTAGTTGTCACTGTAGTCATCTTTATGCAGTAGAAATCCATGTTTGCTATACTTACCCTTTGCTGATCCAATCAGATTCTTGGATAACTTGACTTCACCAGGTGTATATCCAGGAGGATAATCTGTAGGGAGCAGTGCCCTTAATAACACACACCAATCTCACAACAAGAAAATGATACATGCGACTGTAAAACCATTTTAATTTTTGTGCACTCAACATAAAGAATAACGCCTGAAAAGACAAATGAATGGGGTAATTTGTGACTAGTGTATTATATCCTCCCAAGTGATATGACAAACTGCCCCTAACAATTTACTCTGAGTGTATCTTGCATGTTGTATAGCTTCAATTTATCACAGCTGGAGAAAAATTCCAACTGCATTATTTATATCATGTTCTTACCCAAGTCATCATCCGGATCATCTGGTCTTTCTGGGGGATCAGCTATCTCCTCGTACTCTTCCACCATGCTTGTGCCAAACACCCTGGGATAAGTGCATCAAAATAATTCTATAACCAGGCTCATGTATCAGTGACATTTGATCTGTCTATCAGCAATTTAAAACATGGTCGATTCTTAAGTCTTTGACAGCCTGTAGGGGGCAAAGAGCTACACTAAAAGCCTACAACACAAACACACAGGTCTTATAGTATAGCAGAGTCATCTGGTAGCTAGTTCTTTTAGCACAAACATCAAACTAGTGTTTCATTTCCCTTTATGGGCCCCGTAATTCTCACCAGAAATAACAGGTACCATATGGCGTGCTACTTCCTAGTAACTACTATAGTCAACAGTGCATGTTGTGATATGTGTGTTAACTATTTCTGTGCAAGCTTCAGCCAAATTTAACTGTACATTTTTATGTTAGCAGCTATTCATTGAAAAGAACAGCTGCTAACATATGCATTAGTTCTCCGTGTTCCCACCAAAGGCCATGACCACATGCCAAATATTACATAATATCACTTGACACCATCTAGAGCTCATGCAGTATGCAACAAGCCATTATCTGGAACCCACACTTCAAGCCAACTGGTTTGATCAGAGTTGATTAAAACAGAAAAATGCAACTAAAATCAATAACACATAGAACACAAAACAAGAGTACAATGATAAGAACATAGCACATCCATACAAAGCTACATTTTGCTTCTTCTTTCATGTTTGTTTCAGATCTTCTCACCTCTGACAACACCCCATATGCTTTGTTAACAGTATGTTAGAAAAACTTGACATTGCCTGCATTTTACATACCGTATGAGACTTAGGGGACAGAAATGTTCAGAGCCAAAGTGAGACACCAGCTCTACCTAAAAATAAATGCAAAAAATATTCAGATATTATAATGCAAATGTGTGCTGTAGTATATCCCACGCCAATCAACCCTCTCTGCATTTGTTGTGTTATTTACAAACCAAAGCAAAGCCGTGATCTTTTGTTGTTGTAAAATCAACACAATGGGTTAAAATGAAATATAAAAAGACTGATTGGCAATTTGAATAAATTCGAGAGGATCATCTCTGCATAGGCGAAATTAGAACGGTTGACATATTTGATTATTTGAATGGCTACTGGTGGACATCAAATGTTTATTATATATGATATGAATGTGTTCAAAGAGTATTTCTTTAATGGGTTAGCTACTAGCACAGCCAGTTAGATCTGATTCTGTCTGGAGTTGATCACATCACTTGAGACAAAAGAAAGGCACAGAATGCATCCCCCTCCATGTTTACTATTCAGCTCACTCAACCACAGACCTCTACAAGAAAAGCAGGCTAACCTTTATGTACTTGGTGAACATCTGAAGCAAGAGGGACAGAAAAAAAGAGAAACAAAATTAAAGAGAGGCATACATGCATTTAAAACAGGACTGTATGAACAAAGAGTGTGACCATGATGCCATCATCTCTGAGCCAGGTCCAAGTCTAGAATGTAAAACACTGTCCTAGTCACATTTACATTTCAGGAATTTGCTAGTACTCTTATCCAGAATAATGAATATTAGCAACACTGAAACTGTTACATGACCTTAAGGGTGCTCCAATTGATTGGCCGATATTGGCTCTAAATAGTTTGATCGTTGGTCTCTATAAAAACGGATCAGAAGAGCCAGTCAGATAAAGAAATTTATTTTGTTCCACAGGAAAGTTATATTCAGTCTTTACCACACATACATTTACTTGGGCGGACTGCCAGGTATATTAATGGCCAGGAGCTCATTTTAGCATTTTGCAGAGAAACAGAGAGAGAGAGACATTAGCTAGTAGACACGTGGCTATTTTACAAGCATCGACCAAGTAAAGAAACCGTTTTTTCGATAAGCAACGTCATTAACAAGCCTCTTTCACATATGGCTCACCTGCTGTTCGGAAATCAGGGGTGAATTAAAATCCAAAATGTGAGTTTTGTTTCTTTATACAACTTTGTAAAACCAAGAGAAAGAGTGAGATATGTTGCTCACCTTCACATATTTAGCATAAAGATGCTCATCTAATGGAAAGCTCTGGACTGTGCGTTCATCCCGGGCATGAAACGTTCCCAGTTTTAGCCACTTGTTTGTTGGATATCTATAGGAATAGATTTACACAACAGTCAGTTCAATGATGGATTTGTTAGGACTACAGCCTGAGGTAACTGATGGTTATCATACTGAGAGAATACATGTTTCATTATTAAAAATGTATATATTACTGACATTTTGTGTAATAAACCACACCCAGTTTTGTCCAATAAAATGCCTTTTGTTTTCCACAATAAAAAATTCAAAAAATATTAATAATATTAACACTAGTAATATACTAGTAGATATTGTATTTTGTACGCAGTTTCATTGAAGATATAACCTAAATATTCCCATATTGTATTAAAAACAATATGGGAATCTGCTGAGCATACAGTACCTATCACTGATGGAGACAAGAAAGTCTTTGGGAGTAGAAGAGAAGAGCTCAAAGTTAGCAATGTCCAACTGCTTCAACTGGATGGGCTCACAGAGCTCAATGATGAACCTGAGTGAGAATGAAAAACAAAGCTTAAAAAACTGGCTTCAGTTGGGGATGAACAGAAATGTTCTCAGGTTGCAACTGTGGATAGAAAGCAGGAGGTGCATGCATACTACATACCATATCTTATTACTACAGGGGTTTAGCATGTACAAGTCCATGTTCTCCTTCAATATGGCCGAAGTGCTCTGCATGGAACAAATTCACAAAATCAACATGTGTTTTTATTTGTCAATATGTCAACATCCAACAGGGCAAACAAATTCCTCAGAGGAATGTTCATATATATATATCTATCTATAGTACCTTTGCCTCTAGATTAGCACCAAGGATCTTGGCTCCACACTCCACTGAGGCGTAGTTATTGAAGTTCTTCTGGACCTTCTTTACCGTATGAGAAGCCCCATTGTTAGAAGTATGAGTAGACTGAGCTATTGAGAGGAAGAATAAAACAACAAGTTGTTAAATAAGATAAATATACCACAATATTTTATGTTCTGTATCATCAAGCTTAACACAACTTCACAAACAAGATAAACTCTTAATCTTACTCTTTTCTTTCTCCACCTCCATCACCTTCCGCTTCCACTCATCAAAAGTGGGGATGTCCTCGGGGTCTTTGCTGCCTACGCTGGAATCTGTGTCTGTGGTAACAGGGGAGCCCTGGACCTGTCAAAGATAATGAGAGCTGGGACACCTCCTTTGGTAGAGAAAGGAAAATAGTTCACACGGTGTTCTGAGTTCCTTACTGGCTCTTTCAGCGTGTGTGATGCGTTGACCTCCAGATGCTGTGTGCTGTGAGCGGCCGGAGAACTCAAAGAGGGGTCAGTGTGGGTTTTAGTACCTGCCATGTGAACATTTGAAGTGTTCTCCAGAACTACTGGAGGACTGCTGTGGGAACAGAAAAAAGCACTGTAGTCAGAGTCCCACTCGTTGTTTGAAGTGGACTACAGGCTAACTACAACCACATTCTCCTCGCAACAAACAGTCAAAGCCAACTTGACAGCAACGCAAGAGAAGTGTATATAATCGTGTATTTTTAGCTCACTAAGTAGGGCACAAGATCCCCACCTATCATTGTCATACGGGTTGTTCTCTTCTTCTTCACAGTCAGCTGGAGGGAGGTCAGAATCAATGACCTCAGGTGCAGCTACGTCAGATGCATCATCTGAAACACTGAAATGAAACAGCAATCCATGTTAAATGCAGACCTTTCGTTTGCAGGAAGAGATCAAAGAAAAAAAATTGTATTTGAAAGGACCTCGTATGGTGCTGTAACCCTAAGCAATGTACATCACATTCTAAACACCAGAATAATGAGATACAGAAGAGCAACTGAACAGCTCTTATGGGGGAAAAAAGCCTGGGGGTAATAGTATCTTGCCTATTTGGGATGTGTTCTTGATTGTTAAGGATGTTGGGGTTGTCTTTAAGCTCAGCAGCAAAACCAGAGACAGGGTCAGGGGAAGGTAGCAGCGAGGCTGAGTCTTGGTATTGAGTGGTGAAGGTTTCTGGATGTTGATTTTCTGAGCTGTGCTCAGGTTCTGGCTCAGATTGTGAAATTCCTTTGTGTGCCTCCAACTCTACCTCTACAGCGGGCTCCTCTACTTCAAAGGCCTGATGGATAAACAGAGAGAGAGAGAGAGAGATACCTGAGCTGTTGAGGGAAATGTTAAAATGGTTGGCCCATTAGCCAGAGTTAGACTGATCAACCAAACACTTAAAGCTTCAAATATTCCAGGAACGATCAATAAAAAGAACTGCATTGTACAATGCATATGGCTGCTTATCCAGGCCTGAAACGGTTCTGGAGGAAATCAACTGGTGAAGCCTTTACAAATCTTAGCTTAAACATGTCTTTAAAACGATTACTCAATTGCATTAAGCAGTCACAGCACATACACGATTTATAGTACTATGTTTGCGTTGGGGGATTCATTTACATAATGATACAACTACAATGTACCTCTGAATATTGTTTTTTATCCACCTCTTGTGTTGTATGCTCTTCTTTTTGCAGAGCATCTTCTATCAACTGCTCGTTTTCAGATAGGGACTGGGCATGTGAAACCAAGCTTTCCTCAACCTAGAGAAACACACACACACACACAAATGCATATATAGACAGATATCACTGACACCACACCATAAAAGGGACAGTTTGGTCACAGAAGCTAAAACACCCACAAATCTGAGTGAGCAACGTGTCATTTTTGATGGCCTATATATTCAGACAGCATTGTGCAACTGCTGTTAATCTGAGTGTAGTATGGCAGCAGGTGTCTTATGTGGTTAATAAGCAAATAAAATATATAATGAAGTGTATGCTCGTGAAGGATTTCATACAGCAACCTCTAAGCCATTAGGTGGGTTGTAGTAGGTACTATACTACCTTGTGGGAATGAATCTTTTCCTGGGACTCTTCCTCCGAACCGATGTCCTGTGAGGACACTGGCCTCTGGGCCTCTTGGTGCGACTCTGTGCAACCAACATAGCAACTAGGGTACCTAAGAGACAAAGGGAAAGACAGTCATAATACCATTGAGTCAGTTTGTCTGAATATGGATTACTTGTTAACAACACATTGGTGGAAATGCCCTGGTATCTGGGAAAGAAGCATAAATATAGGGGGCACTTATAAACTCTTGAATCAAGCATACTAAACATTTTATTTTACTGCAATGAGTCACAGAGGAAGCTGCAGGCCAATGTCCCAGTGTGACGCACTGACAAAATCCTGGTAGCCTGTACCCCAACGTAGACAATTTATCTTATCTGTATGCAGAGTCAGGGAATGTTGAGACACGCCTCAAACAGGGTGCATACTGTTCAACCAGATTGTAGAGCCTTTTCAAATGCTGTTTATATTTCACTATCTTCTGGTTCTGTCTATAGTATCTGTCACCTGGTTCGTGAAAAAAGACAGATATGTCAAAGTGAAATTAAAGAATGAATACCATTGATTTTTTGCGTTTTGTTTACATTACAGTTATGTTTCTGTGTATACATATATTAAAACCGTATTCTTTTGTTTTAAACAGCACACTTCTGCTGGGTGACACCCAGAGAAATGGGTCAGGGTCACAGCGACTGTCCTCTCTCTCTCCTGGCAGGAAAAACGAGCAGTAACAAGGCCTTAAAAAATTGCAATAATAACAGCACGTTCCTCCAGGCTCAAAGGGCACACTCCAACAGCGATGGCAGCTTGTCAATAATCCAAGCCATTATTTGAATTTTATTCAAGATTCCAGGTCAAGTACTTTACTCGGCCACTGGGCTGGCTGGTTCAACCGCTGTGTTGATCTGACTGGGGAGGCTAGACTAGTCACAAACACTTTAATGAACCACAGAGGCTTTGTTTTCTAATTAACAGCCAGTAGTCATAATGTAACTCCCAAAGGAGCGAGAGTGGTATTAAGGCAGGACTTGCTAAATAATTAACTAACTGGTTACAGACAAAGAGTTAAAGCACTAGACTTTACAATGTAAATGGTATGAAATGCAGGAGATTTTTAGATGATGAAATGAATACTCCCTGTGTGGGTGAGCCTAAAATGCTGTACAGTAATATGTTTTCAATATTCAAGACTAACTGTGAGAATAAAATTGAAGAATAGGCAAGAATAGAGTATAGTGTTGGGACAGCAGACAGAGCAGGTTGGATTTGAAGGAGTGAGCCGCCAACGACGCAACAAATAGATGAACATGTTTCCTACAAGTGCAAAGATCATGTGCACGTGTCCACTCACATCAAGCCTGTCCTTGAGACGCACCTACGACTGAGAGGTGATCTGTCACATGACATGACGCATCATTGATCACTACAATTTTAGACCTGAATAAAAATCTGCCAACATTAGAACATGACAATATTCCATCACCGAAGGCTTCACAACATGGTAAAAAAAAGAAATCATTAAAAATCATATATAATCAGACATCGCAATTGCAATATTCACACATCTGTGAAGTGAAATGAAGTGTGAGAATGATCATTTTTGAATCACAACTTTAATTTTCAGTGAAAAGACTATGAAAACAATGAGGATGTGACACGTTTTCTTACATTTGGCCAGGGCATCTCTGAAGCACTACAGGACTTTATTACAATGCTGTTTTGTCAAACACATTTTACCTTTAGCTAAAACTTGCTCCTGCGATTTGGATTGCGCAGCCCTAGCCTCACCCATATGTTGATTATCCCATCCACTAAAAGGATTCCAATTAGAGGCAGAACAAATGATTGGTATTGTGACACAAAGTCTCTTGAAACACACTGATATTGAGTCATTTCCGTTAATGACTTGAATTTAATTAGGCATAACTTGTGCTAGTGTTTTCATTAAGGGCAAAAATACTGTATTGTATCATGAGCTACCCTCTGATTACAAGACCCTATTCAAATCCTTTAGATTACCACGATAACTATAGCAAAAAGTATACTGTCTCGCAGTAAATATCAGTCAACCCTATGTGAGACCAAAAATGAATGAAAATTCTTCAACAACATCAGACACACCTTTTCACAGCAGATAATTTAGACATGTCACAGCAAGATAAGCACTGGTGATTAATTAAATGAATGACGACGACTCAGTTCCCCCAGTGAGAATAACAGGGTCCTGGAGCTGCTAAACATGAATGTAATATACCTGTTAATCATGTTAATAATTACACTTTGCTTCTGCTATGATATGTCTGAGTGCGGTGAATCTATTAACCGATGAACTTATACAGCCTCAACTAGAACAGGACATATTTACATTTTCTGAAGTGTACAGTACCAAGAGTATAAATAACAGACAGCGAAAGGTCACAAATACTATCACTCACAGCCTCACTGTCAAGAGAGCTAAAGCAATGCTGGTGAAAGTGGGTCAGGCCAACATCACCACACAGTTCTTAACACCATATTACATCACTTCCCTCCCTCCCTTTCCTTCTCCATCTGAACTAAAATGATCAGTGCGTGTTGTGTTTTGTTGCTGTCCTCTAAACATGGCGAGAGCCCACAATCCTCCTGCATAATCTCCCTCTCAGCGGGCTTTACTGTGTTCTGTCGGACTTACACAGACCCAACAACCCCCAGCTGTCAAGAGGACTGACGTGAAAGGCCTTTTAATCCCGTCCAGAGCTGATGAATCAGAGCTGTGTACCGTCGGCTAACGTTAGCTCTGTGACGGTGTGAGTCGTGGGAATCAACAGTCAGCACATTCATGTGTGTGTGGCAGACAGCTAGTTTATGGTCATTCATAAAGGATACACTGTATTACTAATCAGCTGGAGTTGGAAGGATATCGATAACCACCATGACACAAACGTATGGCGGCTGATTGAGCTTAGTTGTAATTAATTAATTCTGCCAAATCACTAACGTTAGGTAGTAACGCGTCCTGAGGTGGAGGGTACTTCAGTTCAATAGCTAATAACTTCCTATCAGCTAGCTGGCTGTGTTAAACCTAGTTAAACAGCTAGTGCTTAGGGTCAGAAACTTAAACTAAACTAACTCGTAGTGATGAGTCAGGGAGTCAGCCAGGTGCCACATCACAACATAATGTTGACGCTGGATAGCTAACTTAGCTAACGTAACGTTAACGCGTTGTAAGTGATTCAACCAAGTCTTGGATAACGTTTGTCAGACAGTTTGATAGTTTCCCCGGTCAATGTCTGTCAGCGGCGTCATTATAAAGCTCAGCTCAAATGAGACAAGTGTAGTTTATCAACTTACCAACAGACTACAGTTACACACAGCCACACTGACACAACTCGCCATAACAGTGGTGTCATCTTCATCCCTCTCCTACCGGGACAGACATCCTCGTCGTACTCGAAAATAGCGTTTTATCCTTTTAGCTGTGGGTCTCTGGGGCCATGTGGAGCACACATTCACCCGCAGCTTTGCTGTTAACTCGGCGTTAGCTATCGTTGACGGTTTCACGGGTGAAGTGTGATGCTAGCCGCTGTGAGCCACACAACCTGCTGCCGACTGTCACCGCGTGTCACCGTCCAACCGTCCAATGAGAATCCAGAGAGGCTGTTGCGCAGTTCAAACTGCGCGTATGCTGGGAGCGTTCGTTTCGTAGCCTCCGGTCGCACGGGTGGGTGGAGCTTCTTTATAGAGAGGTATTTAAGTTGGTTAAGAGAGGCTAATTTTGTTTTCAAATGTTATCAAAATTGTGGTAACTATGGCTCATGGTGACAGAAATAGTGCCGTAATGGGATAAATATGACTGATACACGAGTCACCGAGCACTGGTGTTTAGTGGGTAAGTTAGTTCATATGAAAGCCGTATCAACAGTTGCAATGCAACCTTACAAAAAAAACTCCAGGAAATACAAATCTTTTATAAACGATTTATGGAATAACCAAGTTTCGATACAAAGCCCTAGCTGACATACTGTAGAATACATTCATGCTCGGTAAGATAAAGCTGATGAGTAATATACTTTAATGCAGTATTTTGTAAAACGGCCTACACATTGTGCAAAACAAAGCGTTTGTTGTTCCGTTTGTTACAAAAATAAAATTCCCTTTATTGCAACGGGTTGATGCAATAAAAAAGCAAGTGTTCTGCAGTATCCTGCAGGACCTGAAGTACAGACTACCAACCCTGCCTAGAGACAGTAAGTGCCTGTTTGGGCCACTAGAGGGAGCCCTCTGCTCAACTCATTTGCCAGGCGTCAAAAATATAATTTGAAACCCACCCTACACTAGTGAAGGCAAAGGACGAAACATCACATAAGGGACTAAATTAAAGGGGGACCTCCTATATGAGCGGGGTTATGCCCAAAGGTCACACCCTCATGCATGATCACACCAGAGCAGCACTTTAAGAAGACATAATAGATCATTACAGATATTTAGGACACGTATGCCACATATTGTCTCTGATCAAGCTCCATTGAAAAGTGAACAGTAAATATGTGCCAAAATGACGTATACCATATTTGTTAAATTACTGAAATAACTGTTTAAAGTTCAACTAGGCCTCTGCTGCCATCATGTGACTGGCAGTGAAAAGGCACTTTTATTAATCAGTGATCACATTGGTTGAACACTCATGTATAGTATTCTATAGGCATTGCTTAAAAAAAACGCCACCATCACATGCTCAGCTTTAGATATGTATTCATTTCTATAGTAGAAAATATGAATATTACTTAGTACTTGCAGTCAACGGTTTGATCATATAATACATTAAACACTTTGTCAGTGCCAGACTTATGAACCTTGTTGTTTTAGTGTCACTGTATTTACTTATGTATTACATAGTGAGCTTAAGCATACAATACACGTATCCCCATGAAACAATGCCAGCTGCATACAATTTACTGTAAAGCATTTTCTACAAGAATGTGTAAAAAGAGAGACCAGGTACCCTAACAAATGAATGTATGCTACTGATCTTTTGTTGTTGTGTAGCTGGTGGTGTTTCTCTGCTCAACAGTTATGGTCTGCACTGGAAGCAAAATAAACCAGCAAATGAACTGAGAATACTTGATAACATTACAATTGATTGACATTTTAAAACAAATACACTATTGTGTACTGAACCATAGCTGATGTATGTGACAAAAATAGTCTATAGGATATCAAGAAAGCAACAACTGAAAATCTTTGAAGATAAAAATTAATTTCTGTTCATTTTCTAGTCATGTATTGAGTCTTTGTCTCGGTGCGGGACCTTTGTTACTCAGTTTTACGTCACACCAGTTGTGCTTTAACTGAACATGTTTGGATGCCTCACAGTGATAAAAATGATATATTAGTGCCGTCTTCTGGCTAATGTTCTTCTTCTTTGGATTCAATAGCAGGTTTGTGAAGAAGTAATAACTTTGCTTAAGCCTGCAAAATATTCTAATAATTACTCTAATATTCGTACAAGAGACAGAATGGCTGTAAAACATTTATCTTGTAGACAATTTACCCCAGGGAACACATGACGTTTCAGTATGTATCAATAAGTAAGCAGGCAAGCAATAGCATAATATTTGTGAGCCACATATTGTTTTACTGCACTCCAGTGAGAGGTCTGCATAAATGTATATTCCCCAAAACCCAGTGGCTTAAACAATAAAGACGCTGTTGACAAAGTGAGACATTATGAGGAAGAAGTTTATTGAGGAGCGATACAGAGACACAGAAAATAACAACTGATGCAATTCCCCAGCTTAACATTATGCCCTCTGCTAAACAATGCCATCTCACTACAACTGGAACCATTTCGTTGTCGGTCTTCGGCAGATTTTTTATTTAATTGTTTTTCAACTTTCCGATTCTCTTTCAACATTTAGCTTTGGCAATACAGATTTGTAATTCATGCCAGTAAGGCAGTCTAAATTAGAGAGAAGAGAGCATTTAGTGAATAGAGACACAGAGAACGATTAAAGCGCTAGGATCCTTGATGAGGTCTTTATAGTCCACAGGTACAGTATCTCCTTATCATTACCTATATACATCAGAACACAGTTTAGGCCCACATACACAATAACAAACTGACAGAGAAGCACTTGAACATTGACAAAAGCCCCTTAAGCTCTAGCGCAGACGCTGACTGACTAGCTTCGATGGTTGTGAGAATAGAGGAAATAAGAGAGGCAAAAAGAGAAAAAGCGCTAGTTTGTGATGTACATGGAGTTGCATGTTTCAAACCTGAGAAAAAGGCTAAATGGAAACATGTAAATACACTTTCTTTGTTCATTCAAGAAGGAACTTTTTTTTTTTCAAGTGGCAAGTTCCATCTTCTGAGTCAGCGTCTGGATCAGAGCTTAAGGCTGCGAGGGTCACAACTTGACCATTGATACAGCACAGGTGGACACCTATGACAGGGTTAAATGCATTATTGAGGCTGTTTTCATATAGAGAATACTGAAGGTGCTCCTCAGCCTTGCTATGTGTGTATGGCTGCTACTACAACACAGGAACAACTCACAAAAGTCCGACATTAAATTGACCTCCGAGGGTTTTAGGATTCATCATTAACAGCTTTGACCATGAAAACAAATACAACTGAAACGCCAGCAAACGTGCAGACAGACGGCACATGCACACGTGTCCTCACACACTCTTACACGCACACGTACACAGAGTTACTCGCACACAAACACGCACGTACACTCACATACTAAGATACAACTTCTGTTCCTAAGAGAACATCAAGCTGATAATTAACACTTAAGGGGGTAATATACAATAAATTAATACTAAATCAAACTCAGCCTACATATAGGCAAATTAGTCCCTCCCCCGTATACATACACACAAAACACACGCACACACACTCTACATACACACACTCCCATGCAATAAAAGCAGCTTATGTGCCATGCTGCATTTTGGAATGAGTAGGGCAGTACGACTGCTGAGCGTATTTTCATGTAGAAGCAGCAAGTGGGGGTAGTGGCTGACTTGGTGAGGGGTTTGTGGGAGGGGAGGGGGCGGGGGGTAGAGGTTCCAGGGACTGATACTGGGTAGTGAATCTGCTAAAGCAAACCTGGACCACAGGCGAGCAACAAGCGCACATACACATACACCACAAGACAAGTACCATACTGTACATATATATATGGACATCGTCACCTGGCAGGAAATTGAGGGTCAAGGGGTCATAGACTTCAGTGTCTGCACTAAGGAGAGACCAGGACAGCAGAGCCATGGCTAAGAGAGGAGGGATGGAGGAGTGGATGGAGGGAGGGAGATAAGGGTATGAGGAACCCCTTTGGATATTTATGGTGGGGCTTGTCTTGTAGGAGATGGCGGGGGCCGCCGGCTTGGTTGGAGAATGAATGATGATGTGTAAGGAGAAGTGTCAGAGAACAGGAATGATAACAGATTACAGAAAAGAATGAGAGAGGTAAAATGAGAAGAGAGTAAAGGGTAAGACAACAGAAGACAAGAAAAGATTTTTAAAAAAAATTAGTCTTCAGTCTTCACACAAGTTTAAGAGATGCTGTGTTTATGTTGAAAATAACATACATACTAGAAAATGAATAACATTTTGGGAAACATACTATTTACTTGCTTTCTAAGAGTTAGATGAGAAGCTCCATACCGCTCTCAGCAGTCGGTTACCTTAGCTTAGCATAAAGATTGGAAAGGGGGGGAAACAACAAGCCTGGCTCTGTCCAAAAGTCTGCCACATAACCCTCTATTAAACTAAACCATGTCGTTTTGTAGGGAATCAACAAAAAAGTGTTAACTTAAGAGCTTTAGAGGGGTTTTTTTTCCTTTGGACAGTTGTTTCACCCTGTTTCCAGTATTTGTGCTAAGCTAACTGTCTGCTGGCTGTAGCTTCATATGTACCATACAAAAAAGAGTGGAATCAATCTTCTCATCTAACTCAAAAAAATAAAAGTAATAAAAAAAATAAAGTAATTCTGACCAAAAGCAGTTGAACAGTGGAATCCATGCTGAGATTATGTCTCATCCGGTTCAGCTGTTCAACTGCTTTTAGCTTGCTTGCTTTAGAAATGTAGATTACATTTGATGGCTCTAAGTATTAACTCTTGATCTAGTGGCAGATATGGAGCAGTTGTTAAGAGCAGTAGAGATTTGATCCTGATCTAGCAGGCGAGCTTGATAAGCAAAGAATGCTCTTTAGATGTTTTTGTGTAGTTTTTGGTGTTTTCTGTGAAGGTTGCATTTACCTGGGGATGCTAGGAGGGGCCCTGTTAGGGCGGCTGGGAGCCTGAGGGCTGTCAGCACTATTATTGAAGGGCCCCAGAGGACCTGGGCGGTTTGGTGGTGGCGGGGCCCCTCGTGGAGCTGGGCGCTGGCCTGAAGACATCCTCCTAGGGGCAGTAGGGCTGGCAGGAGGAGACCTGGAAAAAGGGAAGGATATAGTATTGAATGCGGTTTAAGAAAGAAGGGGCGCAGGTAGCAACAGTTTATTATTTAAAATTGTTTCAGTCTACACGTAAATGCGCAGTTTAGGGTTAGGGTTCCAGTGACTTTACCTGCGACCCCCCGCGGATCCTGCCATCCAGGAGGTGTCAACAGGCGG